CCCAAAACCTTATTAGGTACATGGGGCATAAAGAAATCTTCAGAGGTAACAAATTCATCATCATCATCCAAGCCTTATCCCAACTATATGGTTTCCGCTACATGAATCCTGTTTTTCCATCCCGTTCTATTTAAAGCCATATTCACTAGGGGGTGATCATTTCTAGCCTGGCACATAATTTATATATATAATATGAAACAAATCTGCCCCCCTACTATTCATTTGACAAAAAGAAAAAGAGTGGGGAGAGATTGTATGTCATGGACAATTGAATTTGAACTTTTACGTTTTAGCTGCTAGTTGTCTGCTGGAATATATGTTCAACATCTTTAGGTTTATTATCAATTTTGGAATCAGTTGCTGAAATGTTCAGATTTTTCCTCTCTCTCTCTCTCTCTTGATATTTAATTTTTTTTTCCTGCAAGAGCATCAGTGATGTATGACATCCTTATGTTATCCTTGCACTTCGATTGTTAGTGAAGAAACTTAATGGGGACAGTGCAGTCTGAGATGCTCTTGTTCATTACCTTAAATCATCTGGGTTGATGATGCTATCACTGCGTTATCTACCCGCAATCCCCTCAAGGAATTGAGGAAAACTATGACATACTGAAACCCAGGAGCAGTAACTTGAATTACCTTTAGTTTCAGAGTCCCTTAGCATGACAAAGTTTTTAATTTGTCATGTTAAGTATTTAACCAGCTGAAATGAATATAAAAACTTATTCTTGGTTAGTGCAATTTTTCTGTATATGGTTGGGTGTTTCTGTTAATAGGGATTGTAAAAGCCAACTGTTTTGGGCAAATTTATCTTGTGGGTTTGAGATATTGAAATTACTTTGTATGTTGCTTCCAACCTAGGTCTTCATGATCAACAATTTAGGACCTATTCACGTGCTTTGATTTTCTCCTTTGTTTCCACTCCCTTCCAAACCTGGAGTATCTGAAACCACAAAGTTTTTTTTTTTTTTTTTTTTTTTACTATTTAGGCTGACTTTGTCTACATTATGGGATTTGGCAAGTCTGAACACTACTGAATTGAGTAAACTTGTCTGTGCCATGACTGTGTCCTTGTTGTTGAGTGATTATAACAACATGAAGGAGAAAACAGGGAGATTTAGGTGGTAGAGTGTTGAGCAATCGTTAGTTTTATCTTACAGTAAACTTCTGTTAGCTTAAGGAAATTGACCCAGTTAGTTTGTCTTCTAGACCTTTTATTAGCAAGCAAGTCCTACATTAAAAATGGCTTCCTGACTTGTGAGTTTTTCTGAGTAATGATTCTGGGTGGTTCGCTATTTAGATCTAATTTAAATAAGCTCATATGAGATTTCAAGGGCCGTGCAATTGGGTATATGGTTCAAGACTTTGCTGAAGTTCCAATGTGCTTGAGAGTGCTTCTGTTTATTTGATGAACAGGACTTGTGTAGGAACTCTTCAAATCTTCCATCATACTGATGATAAAAAAGCTATAGTTATTATTTTCAACTTCATATTACAATGGACTCATTTCCCCTCCCTTCCCTAAGGTTGTCTAGGGTTTCCTACCCTTCCCTACCTTTTCTTTCCAACCAAACACAGCCTAAAAGTACCTGTTGACTGATGCACCTAAAACACATGTGTTGGATGATTCCTTGCGAATTTAATTGTGCTTTAAGAGGTGTATTTTTTGTGGTCCAACTTGCCACCATAGATATTAATCAAATTTAGGTAAAATATGACTTTCTTGTTTTTTTTTTTTTACATTAAAGTGATGTCTTTTGAAGAGTTAGGTGACTTTTGAAGTTTCTGAGGTTCCAATTACTCTATTTCCGAAGCGACTTTTGGTTAGACGAGTATTACTAGCATATATGGCATGCAAATTGCATTTGCTTTGGTTTAAATGCATGGGAGTGTTGGCAGTAAGTATAGATTCTGGTTTATTTTTGCTTCATCTTTCCCTGTCTTGTAAAGTGGCTCCTACATTATGTGAGAGAGGAGGGTTATTTTTTTGGGAGTGTGATAGGAAGCAAGTTGGTGTGGTCTCCGCTTTATGAGTGAGACAAGACAAACAAATTTTGTATCAGCTAGAAGTTCAAATTGAACCGGTACAAAATTTGTATCCGGTACAGATTTGTATGCCGGAGCCTTGTTTTTTTTTGTACCTATAAATGGTATTTAGTTGTCTCGGTTGTGTTAACTAATCAAAACCGGGAATAAGTAGTCTTGGTGGATCCGGTTCTTTGTTGTTCCTGTAGACGTAGTAGATAGGTGTTTTGGTAAATGGTAGGTCTTTGTAAAGATTTTTCAGGCAAGATTGAAGATGCCAGTTGCAAACTTTATTAAAAAAAAAGCTGCGCCTTTCATTGCTTGTGTACTTTAAAAATAATTCAAAATCTCTTTTTAAAAGCCCGGGGTTATGCATCACAATCAGTGATCTGTCCCTGTAGCCATAGATAGATTCGAATGGGTGAAATGAAGCTTATTTTGGTGATCAAATTGTTGTATTGAAAACCATTAATATGAAAAGCTTAAAATTTATAAGAAATTGTTATATTTATTAATAAAATCAACTAAATTTACTTGTAAAGTTACTTAGAGAATGAGTGTCCAACTTATGACTTTTTAATTTGTTATACTCGAAACAAATTCTACTAATAGATACATATTATTTTTAACTATTATTGAATTTAATTGCAATAGATGCTTATTTGGTTCAATTATAAATATCGAATTAAGATATTGTATATTTGTATATACTGAATTCAACATTGTTTCTTCGGAAAATAATCCAACTTGATTGATTTGTTGGCTTCGATCATCTAATATGCATTGTACAATAGAGAGGTCTAACCCTTTATTTGAAGTTGTCTCTGCCGTTTCGTTTTTTGTTTTAAATTTCTTTTGCTGCGAGGTATATTATATAAATGGGGGGTGGACTTGTGGGTTTTTAGCATCTTCAGGAGGCGACGTTGAATCATCTCGAGCCAAATAATGTTTTGGCTGTTATCATTCTGTTCTGATCCAGTCCTCGATCTATCTTGATTGTACCACTTTCTGGATTGTACTGTGAACGGTGATAGATCTTATTTTATTTTACTTTATTTCTTTGAAAGCCCAATGGTGTTAACTGTGATCTGCATTGTTGTAAATTGTAACATTTGGGTCACGCTGGGATCTTAGGGCGATCACATGTTTGATAATGTATTATCATGTTGAAGTTCTAAATGTTCTAGAGGTAACGTGTCTCCCTTAACATGGATATTAGTTCTTACGGTGGGCTGATAACTTAAAGTCCAACCCGATAATTGTATTCAATCCAAAATAAATTTCATCGACTCCGATGGTTTAATCTGTGATCCGTAAGGCAAATCAAACCTGGAATCAGTAAATTAAATTTGTAATACAAACATGAAATCACCTGTAATCTGTAACAGGTAAATTGCTGTTATCGATTGGTTGAGAAAATGAGAAGATTGAATTGTGGTAACTGGTGGTTTGCCATTCTTTTGGGAGAACCCCGGGTGAAGCCTTCCCAGCTTCTCTACCGTTGCATCCTCATCTTGTCTTGCCGTTTTTATAGCTCAATCTGATGGGGATTTGAAGTTGCTGGTGTAGAAATGGGAAAAGTAAAATGAAAGAATGGTGAGTATTGGGTCACGGGTTTTTAGGTATCGTTGACAGGCTTACAGCCAATCCATTGAGTTCACATCTCTGCCCCACAGCACATCCCTGCCAACATCTCCCGATGATATCATTGGTTCTGGTACTATCATCGGGAGATGTTCCCAATATATGTCGGGGATGTGTTGTGGGGCAGAGATGTGAATTTCAATCCATTATCCGTGACCAGATACCCTGACTGCCTCTATGGTCATGGATTGGGATGC